ATATTATTATTATAATCAAAAAGAAGCGCTAAGCCACAAGGGCTATACAGCTAGAAGTAAGACAGAATGTAGGATTGCAGATGAGCAAGGAGGTCTCAGAGTGGGTAGGGGATGTGTAGATCAAGTGTTTACATTGAGGCATATATGTGAACAGTATTTAGATAAAGGTAGGGAAGTTTTTATTGCATTTATGGATTTAGAAAAGGCATATGATAGAGTGGATAGGGGAGCAACGTGTCAGATTCGGATTGTGGAAATTAGGAGGTGTGCAGTTAACAAAAGTATTAGAGGGCTGAAGAGGGGTTGAGGTTGTTTGGTCATTTAGAAAGAATGGATCGAAGTAGACCGACATGGAGAGTGTATAAATCTGTAGGGGAAGGAAGACAGGGTAGGGGTCGTCCTCGAAAAGGTTGGAGGGAGGGGGTAAAGGAGGTCCTGTGGGCGAGGGGCTTGGAATTCCAGCAAGCGTGCGTGAGTGTGTTAGGAGTGAATGGAGACGACGAATGGTATTTGGGACCTGACGAGCAGCTGTTGGAGTGTGAGCAGGGTGATATTTAGTGAAGGGATTCAGGGAAACCAGTTATTTTATATAGCCGGACTTGAGCCCTGGAAATGGGAAGTACAGTGGACCCCCGCTTTACGATGCGACCAATTATGTAAGTGTATTTATGTAAGTGCATTTGTACGTGTATGTTTGGGGGTCTGAAATGGACTAATCTAATTCACAATATTCCTTATGGGAACAAATTCGTTCAGTACTGGCACCTGAACATACTTCTGGAATGAAATAATATCGTAAACCGGGGGTCCACTGTACAATGCCTGCAATTTAAATGAGGGGTTTGGGATATTGACAGTTTGGAGGGACATGTTGTGTATCTTTATACGTATATGCTTCTAAACTGTTGTATTCTGAGCACCTCTGCAAAAACAGTGATTATGTGTGAGTGAGGTGAAGGTGTTGAATGATGATGAAAGTATTTTCTTTTTGGGGATTTTCTTTCTTTTTGGGTCATCCTGCCTCGGTGGGAGACGGCCAACTTGTTAAAAAAAAAAAAAAAAAGTAAAAACAAGTCTCGTAAACATGAAAGATTTCAGGTACGTCTTACTACTTCTACTTACACTTAGGTCACACTACACATGCATGTACAAGCATATGTATATACACCCCTCTGGATTTTCTTCTATTTTCTTACTAGTTTTTGTTTATTTTTTATCTCCTTGGGGAAGTGGAGCAGAGTGCTTCCTCCATAAGCCATGCATGTTGTAAGAGGCGACTAAAATGCCAGGAGCAAGGGGCTAGTAACCCCTTCTCCTGTATATATTACTAAATGTAAAAGGAGAAACTTTTGTTTTTCCTTTTGGGCCACCCTGCCTCGGTGGGATACGGCCGGTGCATTGAAAAAAAAAGTAAAAACATAATTTTATTTTTTTATTATCACACTGGCCGATTCCCACCAAGGCAGGGTGGCCCGAAAAAGAAAAACTTTCACCATCATTCACTCCATCACTGTCTTGCCAGAAGGGTGCTTTACACTACAGTTTTTAAACTGCAACATTAACACCCCTCCTTCAGAGTGCAGGCACTGTACTTCCCATCTCCAGGACTCAAGTCCGGCCTGCCGGTTTCCCTGAACCCCTTCATAAATGTTACTTTGCTCACACTCCAACAGCACGTCAAGTATTAAAAACCATTTGTCTCCATTTGCTCCTATCAAACACGCTCACGCATGCCTGCTGGAAGTCCAAGCCCCTTGCACACAAAACCTCCTTTACCCCCTCTCTCCAACCTTTCCTAGGCCGACCCCTACCCCGCCTTCCTTCCACTACAGACTGATACACTCTTGAAGTCATTCTGTTTCGCTCCATTCTCTCTACATGTCCGAACCACCTCAACAACCCTTCCTCAGCCCTCTGGACAACAGTTTTGGTAATCCCGCACCTCCTCCTAACTTCCAAACTACGAATTCTCTGCATTATATTCACACCACACATTGCCCTCAGACATGACATCTCCACTGCCTCCAGCCTTCTCCTCGCTGCAACATTCATCACCCATGCTTCACACCCGTATAAGAGCATTGGTAAAAACTATACTCTCATACATTCCCCTCTTTGCCTCCAAGGACAAAGTTCTTTGTCTCCACAGACTCCTAAGTGCACCACTCACTCTTTTCCCCTCATCAATTCTATGATTCACCTCATCTTTCATAGACCCATCCGCTGACACGTCCACTCCCAAATATCTGAATACATTCACCTCCTCCATACTCTCTCCCTCCAATCTGATATTCAATCTTTCATCACCTAATCTTTTTGTTATCCTCATAACCTTACTCTTTCCTGTATTCACCTTTAATTTTCTTCTTTTGCACACCCTACCAAATTCATCCACCAATCTCTGCAACTTCTCTTCAGAATCTCCCAAGAGCACAGTGTCATCAGCAAAAAGAAGCTGTGACAACTCCCACTTTGTGTGTGATTCTTTATCTTTTAACTCCACACCTCTTGCCAAGACCCTCGCATTTACTTCTCTTACAACCCCATCTATAAATATATTAAACAACCACGGTGACATCACACATCCTTGTCTAAGGCCTACTTTTACTGGGAAAAAATTTCCCTCTTTCCTACATACTCTAACTTGAGCCTCACTATCCTCGTAAAAACTCTTCACTGCTTTCAGTAACCTACCTCCTACACCATACACTTGCAACAGTCCTCGATGACGCACTGACTTTCTTGGGTTATCCTGGGTGGCTAACCCTCCGGGGTTAAAAATCCGAACGAAATCCTATCTTATCTTATCTTATCTGCCACATTGCCCCCCTATCCACCCTGTCATACGCCTTTTCCAAATCCATAAATGCCACAAAGACCTCTTTAGCCTTATCTAAATACTGTTCACTTATATGTTTCACTGTAAACACCTGGTCCACACACCCCCTACCTTTCCTAAAGCCTCCTTGTTCATCTGCTATCCTATTCTCCGTCTTACTTTTAATTCTTTCAATAATAACTCTACCATACACTTTACCAGGTATACTCAGCAGACTTATCCCCCTATAATTTTTGCACTCTCTTTTATCCCCTTTGCCTTTATACAAAGGAACTATGCATGCTCTCTGCCAATCCCTAGGTACCTCACCCTCTTCCATACATTTATTAAATAATTGCACCAACCACTCCATTATTATTATTATAATCAAGGGGGAAGCGCTAAATCCGGAGGATTATACAGCGCCTGGGGGGGGGATGTGGAAGGCATTCAGGCTTAATTCGGGGAACTGGAGCACAGATCCAATTCCCTAAATCAAGAGCCCCTTACCAACATCAAGGAACCTTCCTTGAGGGGACCAACCACTCCAAAACTATATCCCCACCTGCTTTTAACATTTCTATCTTTATCCCATCAATCCCGGCTGCCTTACCCCCTTTCATTTTACCTACTGCCTCACGAACTTCCCCCACACTCACTACTGGCTCTTCCTCACTCCTACAAGATGTTATTCCTCCTTGTCCTATACACGAAATCACAGCTTCCCTATCTTCATCAACATTTAACAATTCCTCAAAATATTCCCTCCATCTTCCCAATACCTCTAACTCTCCATTTAATAACTCTCCTCTCCTATTTTTAACTGACAAATCCATTTGTTCTCTAGGCTTTCTTAACTTGTTAATCTCACTCCAAAACTTTTTCTTATTTTCAACGAAATTAGTTGATAACATCTCACCCACTCTCTCATTTGCTCTCTTTTTACATTGCTTCACCACTCTCTTAACCTCTCTCTTTTTCTCCATATACTTTTCCTTCCTTGCATCACTTCTACTTTGTAAAAACTTTCATATGCTAACTTTTTCTCCCTTACTACTCTCTTTACATCATCATTCCACCAATCGCTCCTCTTCCCTCCTGCACCCACTTTCCTGTAACCACAAACTTTGCTGAACACTCTAACACTACATTTTTAAACCTACCCCATACCTCTTCGACCCCATTGCCTATGCTCTCATTAGCCCATCTATCCTCCAATAGCTGTTTATATCTTACCCTAACTGCCTCCTCTTTTAGTTTATAAACCCTTCACCTCTCTCTTCCCTGATACTTCTATTCTCCTTGTATCCCATCTACCTTTTACTCTCAGTGTAGCTACAACTAGAAAGTGATCTGATATATCTGGGGCCCCTCTATAAACATGTACATCCTGAAGACTACTCAACAGTCTTTTATCTACCAATACATAATCCAACAAACTACTGTCATTTCGCCCTACATCATATCTTGTATACTTATTTATCCTCTTTTTCTTAAAATATGTATTACCTATAACTAAACCCCTTTCTATACAAAGTTCAATCAAAGGGCTCCCATTATCATTTACACCTGGCACCCCAAACTTACCTACCACACCCTCTCTAAAAGTTTCTCCTACTTTAGCATTCAGATCCCCTACCACAATTACTCTCTCACTTGGTTCAAAGGCTCCTATACATTCACTTAACATCTCCCAAAATCTCTCTCTCTCCTCTGCATTCCTCTCTTCTCCAGGTGCATACACGCTTATTATGACCCACTTCTCGCATCCAACCTTTACTTTAATCCACATAATTCTTGAATTTACACATTCATATTCTCTTTTCTCCTTCCATAACTGATCATTCAACATTACTGCTACCCCTTCCTTTGCTCTAACTCTCTCAGATACTCCAGATTTAATCCCATAATATACAGTGTTATTATTTCTTCCAGTCAGAACTATTGTACTGTAATTATTTGACTGAATCAAACATCAAAGCATTTTTTAAAACACCAAATTTATTAGTAACCAAGGAATATGAAAGCTTATATTTCCTTCATGTTAATCAACTTAAAAAGATCTAGAATTTACCTTTATTTCCAGTAAAGTTCATTGACACTATTGCCTCATTAATTGTGGTTGAAATAAGCATAACAAAAAGTAAATAAAAGGGTATTAAAAATAACATCTTTTCTTTGAGAGTATTTATTTTATTGATTATTAAATTGTTTGTATCAAATAAATTTGCTGCACAGCTACAAATATGTAAAAAAATATGTAAGGCATAAAATGGTTTTAGGTAAAAAATCACAGTACATTTTGTCAAAACAAATAAAAGCTTTTTTCTTTATAAATACCTCCCAGATACTTTAACAAATGTTTCAGATGAAAATGAATAATCTATTCACCATTAAGTGTTGGATATTCAACATCAACCATGAAATCTTTGCTGACTTTTACACGTCAGTATGTGTGACATAAATGCAATATTTTCGACTTACACTTAGGCACTGTAGTATAAGAGGAAATAAACGTAAGATTCAAGTTATGTCAGAAGCTATCTTTAGGAGAGTTTTTTTTTTTTACTTGATGGCAGTCTCCCACCAAGGCAGGGTGACCCAAAGAAGAAAACACATTAAGTGTTATTCATTCAATCTCCATCTTTCAGAAGTATGCTGACATCACAATCAGACAACACTCCAAGCATTATATAGAGGAAACCAAGAGAAGACAGAGGCATTAGGATATAAAAAATGTAAAATACAGTGGTACCTCAGGATACGAACAGCTCAAAACTCAAATAATTATGTAAGTATTTAAGTAAGTGTATTTTTGAGGGTCTGAAATGAATTAATCTACTTTACATTATTCCTTATGGGAACAAATTCATTCGGTATCGGCACTCGAACAGCCATCTGGAATGAATTAAGTTCGTATCCCTAGGTATCACTGTATAGGGACCCTTGGAACATAAGTACTTTAAACAGATGTTATAATGTCAGGTGCTACAAAGTGATTGTAACCAGAGAGAAATATATTACTGACAGAGAGCAGTCCCATTATTTTCTAAATTAAGGGCTTCCACAGGAAAATGCGAACAACCAATTCTTTAACCTTCTTAATGATGTATTTGCTTGAAGGAAATAAAATTAACATAAGAGATGAACACAGTCATCATGTCCAAATGCAGATCTACCAAACTGCAACATCCCTACTCCACTATCAAAGAACAGCCACTGCACTTCTCAGCCTCTAAAACTAAAATCCAGCAAAGCTGGTTTCCCAGTTTTGCTGGAGGTCATATAATACAGTACAAGACATAATGATGCTAAAATTGGTCCCACAGTTATCCATATACAGTGGTACCCAAAGTTTCGGCCGCCTCCCAACTCAAACAATTATGTAAGTGTATTATTGTAAGTGCTTTTGTAAGTGTATTTTTTGGGGTCTGAAATGGACTAATCTAATTTACATTATTCCTTATGGGAACAAATTTGTTCGGTAACGGCACTCAAACAGCCTTCTGGAACGAATTATGGCCGAAACTTGGGGTTCCACTGTACATATACAGTACTGTAATATCAGTATGCAACATAACTTTAAACAGGTACATATGCAAAAACCAAAGGTTGTATTCTATTATCATGCTTATGTTATAGTTTATTCACATGTAAGCTATAAAAAGCATATGAATATAATGAACCAAGTACTGTACTGTATTATTTAGCTTAAGTATTGCCTCCACTAATAAGATGCTGAACCAAGGTTTAACAATCTACAATGGTGGGAGATGGCCGACTTGTTGAAAAAAAAAAAAAATTTGAATATAACTCAAGGAGGTCAGCATTTTTATATTTAAATAATTTTTTTAATATAATCCTGTAATATCCAGAATACAAATTACATATAATAAATATATCTAAACTCCATGGGGAAGTGGAACAGAATTCTTCCTCCGTAAGCCATGCGTGTTGTAAGAGGCAACTAATATGCCGGGAGCAAGGGGCTAGTAACCCCTTCTCCTGTATATATTACTAAATGTAAAAGGAGAAACTTTCGTTTTTCCTTTTGGGCCACCCCGCCTCGGTGGGATACGGCCGGTGTGTTGAAAGAAAGAAAGAAATATATCTAAAACACTAATAAAACATTCTGAACATCTATCTGACTACATCTGACAGTACACAAACAAAAATAGTACATATACTAAAGGAATTAATAAGAGCATATGTAATCATAAAAAAGTGCTGGGCAACCAAAAGAAGCCATATTATTCAATACAACATTACTTTTCTGTATTCAAATACTTATTAATAATGAACACATTCATATATACCCATCAACTGGATAGTAAGGAACCTTCTAGGTAATAGACATGATTCAGGGAGATATCCACAAGTCTGTAAAGCATTAATATGTTCACCATGCAAACTTCTTGCGACCGTAGCGCTGAAAAAACAAAAAAATACTTAAGTCAGATATTTTGACTTTCAGGTTACATATCTGAAGTCATATTAGGTATATATATACATAGAAAAGATAGGCTAGCACACCCTCATTAGTACCACTCAAGTGTTTCAAGTAATGAGAAGGCTCTTGCTATGAAAGAATGGAAAAGTATTTAAAGAGAAGTGTGTGTAAAGATCTTCGGTGACCATATTTACTAATAAGATCCAATACTCATCACACCTACTGCCTGATTTTGGATGAGGCCTCCTAAATTAGGATTAAATGTTACAGGAATAAGAACTATTAAGAAAAAGAAAATTGAAGCTAAATGTATACTGAATGAGACAGAACATAAGGACTAGCAATTCTGTTAGAGTGCAGAACATTTAACAAGCTCCTATTTCACACTTTTGTAACAGGACCTTTGGCAATTCTGTACTTTCCACTCACAGTAACATCATAAAAAAGCAGCACCACCAAACTAGCAAAACATCTACAGCAACATCCCAACCATTTCGTCTACTAAGTGCTGTACAGTACTTCACTTGAGCTCTTCCAATAATAAAGTGTCAATGATTCAGCTTCTGAGATTTCTATTGATTTTTTTTTATTAAATATGTGTGGGATTCAATGTATGCTACATTTTCTCTCACCCCCCCCCACGCATTACGTAGAATGAAAGGGGGTAAAGCAGCTGGAACTGACGGGATCATGACAGAAATGTTAAAAGCAGGGGGGGATATAGTGTTGGAGTGGTTGGTACTTTTGTTTAATAAATGTATGAAAGAGGGGAAGGTACCTAGGGATTGGCAGAGAGCATGTATAGTCCCTTTATATAAAGGGAAAGGGGACAAAAGAGATTGTAAAAATTATAGAGGAATAAGTTTACTGAGTATACCAGGAAAAGTATACGGTAGGGTTATACTTGAAAGAATTAGAGGTAAGACAGAATGTAGAATTGCGGACGAGCAAGGAGGCTTCAGAGTGGGTAGGGGATGTGTAGATCAAGTGTTTACATTGAAGCATATATGTAAACAGTATTTAGATAAAGGTAGGGAAGTTTTTATTGCATTTATGGATTTAGAAAAGGCATATGATAGAGTGGATAGAGGAGCAATGTGGCAGATGTTGCAAGTATATGGAATAGGTGGTAAGTTACTAAATGCTGTAAAGAGCTTTTATGAGGATAGTGAGGCTCAGGTTAGGGTGTGTAGAAGAGAGGGAGAATACTTCCCGGTAAAAGTAGGTCTTAGACAGGGATGTGTAATGTCACCATGGTTGTTTAATATATTTATAGATGGGGTTGTAAAAGAAGTAAATGCTAGGGTGTTCGGGAGAGGGGTGGGATTAAATTATGGGAATCAAATTCAAAATGGGAATTGACACAGTTACTTTTTGCTGATGATACTGTGCTTATGGGAGATTCTAAAGAAAAATTGCAAAGGTTAGTGGATGAGTTTGAGAATGTGTGTAAAGGTAGAAAGTTGAAAGTGAACATAGAAAAGAGTAAGGTGATGAGGGTATCAAATGATTTAGATAAAGAAAAATTGGATATCAAATTGGGGAGGAGGAGTATGGAAGAAGTGAATGTTTTCAGATACTTGGGAGTTGACGTGTCGGCGGATGGATTTATGAAGGATGAGGTTAATCATAGAATTGATGAGGGAAAAAAGGTGAGTGGTGCGTTGAGGTATATGTGGAGTCAAAAAACGTTATCTATGGAGGCAAAGAAGGGAATGTATGAAAGTATAGTAGTACCAACACTCTTATATGGATGTGAAGCTTGGGTGGTAAATGCAGCAGCGAGGAGACGGTTGGAGGCAGTGGAGATGTCCTGTCTAAGGGCAATGTGTGGTGTAAATATTATGCAGAAAATTCGGAGTGTGGAAATTAGGAGAAGGTGTGGAGTTAATAAAAGCATTAGTCAGAGGGCAGAAGAGGGGTTGTTGAGGTGGTTTGGTCATTTAGAGGGAATGGATCAAAGTAGAATGACATGGGGGAAGGAAAGAGGGGTAGGGGTCGTCCTCGAAAGGGTTGGAAAGAGGGGGTAAAGGAGGTTTTGTGGGTGAGGGGCTTGGACTTCCAGCAAGCGTGCATGAGCGTGTTAGATAGGAGTGAATGGAGACGAATGATACTTGGGACCTGACGATCTGTTGGAGTGTGAGCAGGGTAATATTTAGTGAAGGGATTCAGGGAAACCGGTTATTTTCATATAGTCGGACTTGAGTCCTGGAAATGGGAAGTACAATGCCTGCACTTTAAAGGAGGGGTTTGGGATATTGGCAGTTTGGAGGGGTATGTTGTGTATCTCTATACGTATATGCTTCTAAACTGTTGTATTCTGAGCACCTCTGCAAAAGCAGTGATAATGTGTGTGTGTGGTGAAAGTGTTGAATGATGATGAAAGTATTTTCTTTTTGGGGATTTTCTTTCTTTTTTTTGGGTCACCCTGCCTCGGTGGGAGACGACCGACTTGTTGAAAAAAAAAAAAAAAAAAAAATGTATGAAAGAGGGGAAAGTACCTAGGGATTGGCAGAGAGCATTTATATATACCCCTTTATATAAAGGGAAAGGGGGACAAAAGAGATTGTGAAAATTATAGAGGAATAAGTTTACTGAGTATACCAGGAAAATTGTACAGTAGGGTTATTATTGAAAGAATTAGAGGTAAGACAGAATGTAGAATTGTGGATGAGCAAAGAGGTTTTATAGTGGGTAGGGGATGTGTAGATCAAGTGTTTACATTGAAGCATATATGTGAGCAGTATTTAGATAAAGGTAGGGAAGTTTTTATTGCATTTATGGATTTAGAAAAGGCATATGATAGAGTGGATAGGGAAGCAATGTGGCAGATGTTGCAAGTATATGGAATAGGTGGAAAGTTACTAAATGCTGTAAAGAGTTTTTATGACGATAGTGAGGCTCAGGTTAGGGTGTGTAGAAGAGAGGGAGACTATTTCTTGGTAAAAATAGGTCTTAGACAGGGATGTGCAATGTCACCATGGTTGTTTAATATATTTATAGATGGGGTTGTAAAAGAAGTAAATGCTAGGGTGTTCGGGAGAAGGGTGGGATTAAATCATGGGGAATTAAATACAAAATGATGATATTGTGCTTATGGGAGATTCTAAAGAAAAATTGCAAAGGTTAGTGGACGAATTTGGGAGTGTGTGCAAAGGTAGAAAGTTGAAAGTGAATATAGAAAAGAGTAAGGTTTTAAGAGTATCAAATGATTTAGATAAAGAAAAATTGGATATCAAATTGGGGAGGAGTAGTATGGAAGAAGTGAATGTTTTCAGATATTTGGGAGTTGACGTGTCAGCGGATGGATTTATGAAGGATGAGGTTAATCATAGAATTGATGAAGGAAAAAAGGTGAGTGGTGCATTAAGGAATATGTGGAGGCAAAAAATGTTATCTATGGAGGCAAAGAAGGGAATGTATGAAAGTATAGTAGTACCAACACTCTTATATGGGTGTGAAGCTTGGGTTGTAAATGCTGCAGCGAGGAGGCAGTTGGAGGCAGTGGAGATGTCCTGTCTAAGGGCAATGTGTGGTGTAAATATTATGCAGAAAATTCGGAGTGTGGAAATTAGGAGAAGGTGTGGAGTTAATAAAAGTATTATTCAGAGGGCTGAAGAGAGTTTGTTGAGGTGGTTTGGTCATTTAGAGAGAATGGATCAAAGTTGAATGGCATGGAGAGTGTATAAATCTGTAGGGAATGGAAGGCGGAGTAGGGGTCGTCCTCGAAAAGGTTGGAGGGAGGGGGTAAAGGAGGTGTTGTGGGCGAGGGGTTTGGACTTCCAGCAAGGGTGCGTGAGCGTGTTAGATAGGAGTGAATGGAGACGAATGGTATTTGGGACCTGACGAGCTGTTGGAGTGTGAGCAGGGTAATATTTAGTGAAGGGATTCAGGGAAACCGGTTACTTTATATAACTGGACTTGAGTCTTGCAAATGGGAAGTACAATGCCTGCACTCTAAAGGAGGGGTTTGAGATATTGGCAGTTTGGAGGGATATACTTGTATTGTGTATTTTTATATGTGTACTTCTAAACTGTTGTATTCTGTGTGAGGGAGGTGAAAGTGTTGAATGATGTTGAAAGTATTTTCTTTTTGGGGATTTTCTTTCTTTTTGGGTCACCCTGCCTCGGTGGGAGACGGCCGACTTGTTGAAAAAAAAAAAAAATATCGGTTTCTTTCTTTAATTAAAAAAAAAAAAAAAAGTGTCATTTCCAACCAAAACAGGATGACCCAAAGAAGAAAACACATTCACTCAATCACCATCTTTCCAAGTCAGACCGAAACATCGTTGTAAGCTCCTCTCTCTCCTGTGTATGGGTTATTTGTGCATTGTTCCAGTCATGGTACTGTGCCTTTTTGTTCCTTAATCAGATTACTCCTCTGACTGCAACATCTCCATCCCTCCTTCAGAGTTCAGGTGCTGCTTTTCCCACCTCCAGGACTGAAGTCAAGCTAACCAATCCCTTCATCAAAGCTACCTTCCTCATGCTCCAACAGAATGTCTTTAATAAAATACATGTACAAATTCAGTGTGTAATGTGATGAGCATAGAAATGTACATATACCCATCCTCACTTTCTGCCCTAAAATTCAATGAAATGTGCTGTACATACTCTCTTTGTACATACTCTAATTTGTTGAGCACAATCATACTGCTATAGAAAAATAATCAGAGAAAACAGAAAGTTACAAGGAAAAATAGGTAAGGAATGAGAGAAAATATCATTAACTTAATATTTTTAAGGTATGTGTACTATATTACAGACCACAACTGTTGCTGCAATGTAAGTATAGCAGGAAAAAAATATGAAGCTACATAGGAGCTTGTCACATGAAACCATTTGTAATAATCTTAAATATATTTAACCCAAAAGACTTAAAAAATGATTCTGTAATAGATACAAGTACTGTATTACAATTCCTTAGTAAATGTCTGATTAAATTAAAGAAAAAACTCTTGTAGCAAGTCAAATGAAGAGAACAATGAAAACTTTAGTTTCTTTTATCCTGTTTAATGATATACTATACATCACCAAATAGAAGGACCCACCTTCACTAAGTACAGTACCAAAAAAAAAAAAAAAAAAAAAATTGAGCTTGAATTATGATAAAAGTTATTTTAAGCTTTAAAAAACTAATAACAATTATGATATGATGGCTGGAACCACTCACAACTAACCACAACATTGGAAATAAAAAGTGGATGAGATTTCAGTTTATCTTGAACCATTATGAATCCCATGCTGGAATGAAATATTGTCCAGCTTTTATGTCTAATTTTTAAGCACCATTTCTTAGAAGCTATTAAAAACCCCCATCTTCTCAGGGCAAATGATTTCAAGCATCATTTTTCTTGCTTACCGGTGGAGCATATTGAGGACCCCAAAGTTGTTGCATTTGCTGCTCTAAGCGCCGAATTTCTTGACGATGTTCCTGTAATTTTCGCTCTTCATCTTCCTGACTTCTTCTAAGATTAGCTGCCTCCTGCATTATCCTAGTTGAAGGCTGAAAGCATACAAGGAAATATGACAGAACTAAAATTTTCTTAAGAACAGTGAATGATGTGTGAAAGTTTAATATCTTAAACATTTACAAGTGAACCCACAAATTCATAGACATCCTAATTCATGTAGTGCTACAATTTTCCAATGCTTTCACTGATGGACAATCCACAGATAAATCTGATTAGTTGCAGGCTTTTTCCCAGTCCTTATATATGGAGGATTGGTGCATGACTCAAATTGAAAACTAATTACAGGCAGGCTGTAAAGTGAAACATAGCCTTTTTTCCCCTTTCAAATGTGTATAAAAGCCTGATAATATGTTTACACTATCATATATTAAATGATCAGTAGAGCAAGGCCTAAAAAATGCATATATGTACAATACATGCATTACTTACCTTAAAATATTGTTGTCCTCAGCTTAGAGTGAGTGGTGTATATACATTTATTGTAGGAAGTCAGAATAAACTAAAAATTAGTATAATTGAAAACTGCTGTATTAGTGCTTCACTTTACAGCACTGCACTAATGCAGCACTTTTCAATTAGTGGACCCCCGGTTTTCGTCCGGTCCGGATATCATACAAATCGGATTTCAACCACTTTTTTCGGTGAATTTTTACCCTGGGTTCCAAAACGTTGCCACAATAAAATGTCACATTAGTTACACTTGTGTCCTTTTACTTTATAAATACAGTGGACCCCCGCTTAACGATCACCTCCCAATGCGACCAATTATGTAAGTGTATTTATGTAAGTGCGTTTGTACGTGTATGTTTGGGGGCCTGAAATGGACTAATCTACTTCACAATATTCCTTATGGGAACAAATTCGGTCAGTACTGGCATTTGAACATACTTCTGGAATGAAAAAATATCTTTAACCGGGGGTCCACTGTACTACATGATCAAAAAACTGTACATACTTGGATTATAAAGCAATTGTATATAAAATTATTAATTTATAATCTCCATCAACACTAAATTTGCACTCTCTCTTATCACCCTAATATTGCACATTATTAACAGCTTACTTGGGACTCAGCAGCAGCTATGTTCTGTTTCCGTCTTCTTTCGGCCTCTTGTTCCTCAAGCTGCTGCATTTTTTCTCGTGTTTCAATAATCGAGTACTGAATTTCATTTTTTTCGGCATCCAGCAATGCACGCTCACGAACATTTTTTGAATATTTGTCTTGCACCTAATATATGAAAAAAATAATTATTCATTAGGATACTACAGCAAGAGGAAATAAAAATTCATTTGACATGACTGCTCTCTGTTTTTTCCATAGTACAACATGTATGTAACTGACAAAGGAGTTATACAAGCTTAAAACATCTTAATCTTCAAAAATACATTGCTCAACTGCAACTGCTCCATATAAAAGATTATGGTGTTTAGTATACCATCAGTCTTTACTTACCAACAGAAACAAATTTGCTGCTATTTATATAGCAGCAAATATAGTTATGTTCTGATGAACCTATCACAAGTTGAAAATATTGCAAGCCAAGTATGAATATACATAAATAAGTAAATAAGTGACTACTGTCACTGAATAAGTAAATAAACAAATAATTACTGTAACTAACTAAATACTAATATTGAAAAGTAAATAAATGAATACATACTAGGTAATTATCTTAAGTTTCTTCTCCACAGTAATTCCTTTTGCACCATTGTAAAGGCAAACCATTGTAAGTCAAGGCAGCATAGAGCATCATGGCCGACGCGGCAGGTTGTGTAGCAGGCTAGCTGCGGGATTTTCAAAGATAGCTCCTGGTCAAAGAGGCTGACCAGGTCCCTACTTAACAGAACTCAGTGTGAATGCTTTGAGAAGATACCAGAGCAGCGAATGGACATCCCAGTGCATTGTTTCAGCGTAAATAGTTGAAGTGTTGTGCAGTTTTAAAGGGTTTGGTGTTGTTGAGTCAGGACCAGTCAGCGCCTCCCCCCCCTCTCCGCTGGGGGGGAGGGGGAGGGCGTGTGTAGTAAACAGTGACCCTCTCATAACGCCTCACCCCTGCCTCACCCACCCAACTCCCAGCGCCACCCCATCTATAGAGGGTACTTCTCCCCTAACCCACGATGTCAGCGATGGCACTGCAGGGAGTGCCGGGCTCACAGGAACTTCTACTACAGGGACAGCATCGTGGAGTTCGACCGCGAGGCAGCTGTCAGGTGTGCCACAGGCAGTGTGTACTCAGTTTCTCAAGCTTCAACATCCGTGCACACGAAGGCCTGGGATCTCCAATCAACTTGGCGTCCACCAGGACGCTGACATGTCCCTAGGGCAGCTCTCCATCGGGCTGCTAACGGAGTCACTGGCTTCTTGGACCTCTTGGGGAGGGTCGATGGTGCTCGTGCAAGCAGCAGATCCCGGGGCAACTTGCTGCTGTTTGCAATGGCTGTCTGCCGAGGAGAGACAGGCACCTAGCAACATCTGTTATTGGGGCATTGGATGAATTCCCTACTATGTTTGTTAACTGCTCATTACTCTGTAATTTGTCTATGATTGTAATCATGTGATAACGTGTTTATCATTCATTACCTTTGAAACTTGTCATGATTGTGACCAGCTCTACCTGGAGCTCATTACCTTTGTAAATTCTCATGATTAATGTGTTTGATTCATTACCTTTGCAATTATTCATTAGTGTGACCAGCTCTACCTGGAGCTCATTACCTTTGTAACTTGGTCATGATTATGACCAGATCTAGTTAATTACCTTTGTAACTTGTTCAGCTATCAAAACTTTGGAGTCCAGTCCCTGGACCAATTATGTACCTCTGTAATCTTTTGACTACCGCCCACAGGATGGGTATGGGGTCCATAATAAACATATTAAACTAACTGTAAGTCAAGGGGCACCTGCATTAATTAATACAAAAAAAGAAAACCCATTAATTTTTACAGGTGAATAATTAGGTTTGCAGAATACTTACCTGCTGCTGCAGTCCCCTAATGACATCAGACATCAGTTTATCACGTGCTCTTTGCTCTTTTTCCCACTCAGCTTGTCTCTTCTTCCACAACCTCTCTGCTTCTTCACTGCAAGAAAGCATACATAACTATGGCTGTCCTGCCTCGGTGGGATAAGGCTGGTTTGTAGAAAGAACAAAAACAACTATGGCGGTGACAAAAAGTGTAATGAACACTTGTCAATGAGAGGCAGAAGCCCACATGGAGTCAGGAATATAAAATAAAAATTTGTGCGAGTCTTTTTTTTCTCCGTGTTCCTTTATCTATGTGGGTTCCTGCCTCTCAAAAATACAGTATAGCCATGTGCAAAACTAGTGAGGATTGTTCTTGAATCAAAGTCTTACTGCATATACTTTCTTTAAACTAACATGAGTTATCTCAATGGCTACATATCAAATGCTCTTAGTTTTAATTAATTTTCCAAGAGTTGTTGCAGTCATTTTACATACCTGAACAACAACTCATACTCCTTTTCACGCATTATTTCCAAGCGATGCTGTTCCCTCAGAACTGTTTTCATCCATTCTGCTTCTGGTCTTCTCTTTTTCATCTGACAAAATTTTGTTAAAGGAGACATTCTTTTTAATTTGCATATTCACTAAATTTACTTCTGAGTATGTTAACACTCTCCTTAAACCCAACAAAAAATTATACAATAACTAAAAAATATTAATGCAGGAACACATTACATACTTATTTTAAGTGTTTCAAGGTTTATTAACCCTTTCAGGGTCCGTCCCGTAGATCTACGGCTTTACGTTCAGGGTCCAAACCGTAGATCTACGTCATGAGCTCAGCTCACTCTTGATAAACTGTGAGTGGTACATTTGGGCCTAGATATGAGAGAATACATCTATGTGGTATGTGTGCACCACATAAAACAGATCCTGCAGCACACTGTGTATAATGAGAGAAAAAAAAACTGAAATCATGATTTTTCGATTAAAACAGAGACTTTGCAGTGTTTTTTCATATGTTTTTTATAGTTGTATTTGCGATTTCTTGGTCTCATTTGATAGAATGGAAGACATATTACAGAAATAGAGATGATTTTGATTGGTTTTAGCACTGGAAATGGCTTGAAACTGAGCTCAAAGTAGCGGAAATGTTAAATTTTTGCCGATATTCAAGAGTAAACAAACGACCTCACACATCTAATACACGTCAGCTGGTGGGTCTAATATACATTCACAAATATGGTGATGATATTTATACACTTATTACAGTATTGCATAACAGTAAATCTTCTATTTTTTGGTGTGAATAAAAATTCATTATGTGAATAAAAAATCAAAATGGAATTTATTTGTAAAGCCTCAAAACGTAACTAATGAACAGAGGAAACGTTAGTTTAGTTCCTACATTGTTTATTCTGGACCCCATTTTGAAATTGGAATATTTTGAACTTTGTGTTAAATTGGCCAAATTAACAATTTCTGATCACTTTATTTTGTAGTTGAAACAGTTGACTTGGCGATTTCTTGTGCTCAATCGATAGAATAGAAGTAATACTAGTGAAATAGCTAAGAATTTGGTTGACTGGAATAATGTAATTGGCCTAAACTGGGAGTCGAAGTCGGCAAAATCGCAGATTCGTAAATATCGCTGACACATCAAAATTCGCGAGAGCATAATTTCGTAAATTTTCCATCAAATTTCGTACTTTTTGTTTTATTACCTTCACAAAAAGATTCTCTACCATTTCATAAGAAAAAATAGCAAATTTTTTTTTTTAAATTCTTGGACACTGGGGCACCACTTCAGATTTGGGCCTTGGACCCTGAAGGGGTTAAATAATCTCAAATTTATTTTTTTAAATACAATGGCCATCTCCCATCAACGTATGGTGATCCAAAGAAAAGAATATGTATTCAATATCACTCATTCAATGGCTGTCTTGCCTAAAATGTGCAGACATCACAATTCAGAATGTAGACATTGTACCTCCCTCATCCAGGACTCAAGTTCAGTTAACTAAACTTTAGTGCTACCATGCTCATATCCCACAACAGCATATCAAGCCATACAAACCATTCTTCTCCACTCAATTCATTGTAACACACACAAGCTTGCTTGATGTAGGCTTGTGTGAGCCTGCATCTAACCTGTACCCTTCATCCTCTCCACTTCAATCCCTCTTGGGATGACCACTACACCTCCCTTCTTCCATTCCAAATTTATATACATGTACTCTTGGTAATCCTATTCTGCTCAGTTCTCTTTAGGTGCCCAAACCACCTCAACAACCCCTCCTCAGCCCTCTGAATTATACTTCTGGAACTCCCACGCTGTCTCATGATTTCTAGGAGTGTTAGTGCCACTATAATCTCGTACATTTTCCTTTTTGACTCCACAGATCATTTTTTAACAGATGGCTCAACACACTACCTACCTATTTTTCCCTCATTCTATGGTTCACTTCATCTTTCATAGATCCATCTGCCAGTATGTCCACTTCCAAATATCATTCACTTCTTCCATACTCCCACACTTAACTATTATGTAAAAAAAAAAATGTTTATTTTTCTGGTACCTGAGTAAAAACTGCAGTTACAAGAGTAATGTTTTTTTTTTTTTTAACATACTGGCTGTCTCCCACTGAGGCAGGGTGAAATGATAAAGAAGAAACAAAAGGTTTTCTTTTTACATTTAGTAATTTATACAGGAGGAAGGGTTACTAGCCCCTTGCTTCTGACATTTTAGTCGCCTCTTACGACACACGTGGCTTATGAAGGAAGGATTCGTCTCCACTTCCCCATGGAGGTCCACTGATAAAGTAATTAAATGTACAACTACTTGAATGACCAAACAGTATTTTCATGAAGAAAATAATTCTAATATTATTTCGTGTAGTTAATATTTGATTATTTCTACAAGAATAAAACTGTCTCTTGACCAGTAAACCAAGAATGAAGAAATGTATTGGGAAATTAATAATAACCAAGTACAGTACATTACATGGTATTGTAATAGCTAGAAAAGGCAGGATGTACTGCACTACATTCTAAAATTTACAACTCATGAGTATTTCTTTTCTCACCTTTAAAGCAATATTTCTCAGGCAGAACATTAAAACCATTTTAACTACTACCTACTATATTAAAGATCACACTGACGACCAATACCTGTTCATCTGAGTCTTCATCGGAGAACCCTCTCAGCAAGTCCTCTACAATTCCCTCATCCTCCAATAGTTCTTGTTGAATGTCTGCAGCCCTTTTTTTTAATTTCAGTTGATACTGACGTGCCCAAAATAGCCTGAAAATAGAAATTATTATAAAACTCTCTATCTACTTGGAGGTTGTTCGAAGGGTCAATGCCCCCTGCAGCCCTGTGTTTGACCAGGCCTCCCTCTGCTCATGCAAAATGGTAAATTATTCTAAAGTCACTGTAAAAAATACAATAACAGGCATCCCTCACTTTATGCTATGAAGATGTTCCAGGCCTATGGGTTGCAAAGCAAAACTGCATAAAGTAAACTCAATTACTGTTTATGCCTCTGCCTATATGACTACTGCCTATAGTATGGGGAAGGGGGGTTATAATAATGAATGACTAACTAAACCAAAGTAAAACTGGGCATCAATCAAACCAAAGGCTGTGATCATTCAAAGCCTGCACTTAACCCTTGTGTAACCATGGTGCCTACAAAAAATACCCAACCGGAGTTGCTCTCTTCTACTTTAACCACCAGAGTACAATGGTAGAGCACAGGCTTCCCACATGTACAGCCTTAGGTTCAATTCCCATCCAGTCATTTGTGAGTTTAGTTACAGTCATTTATTATAATTTTTCAGAATACAGCACATACTGCCTTGGTATTTTGCCTCTGAACATAATATTCCTTTACAGACCTATTTACATCCTTTTATTATGCCCAGATACTACATTGCTATTTCTGCTTACCAATTTTTTTTGTTATTTGCAAGAGTGCTTACATCACATTAGTACATGTAAATTTCAACTGCATAATTTTTCCAATAGATATACAAGGAATATATTTATGTGATATAGACTATACTATAAAGACTGACTGTAATATTAAGCCACTATCAGTGCTGATGGTTAATTAGTGACAAATTATCTTGAGTATAATTTACCAAAAAGAAAGAAAGAAAAAAAACTTACTCTAATTCTTTACGCTGTCGTAAGTCCTTCATTCGCTCCCGTCTCTGATTTATTTCATGAAGCCATAATTTCTCCCGTTCTAGTGACAACTCCTCGGCTCTTAGGATGTTATCACGTCTTTCTCGTTCCCTGGGAAAATGCAGCTGTTTTAAGCTTTCATGTTAATTTGAATGACGGATTCACACTGACATAAGATATTAGATGCATATAGCCAAGAATAAATATTAAAGATTCTGTACAGGACTGTATAGCAATATACAGTGGACCCCCGGTTAACGATATTTTTTCATTCCAAAAGTATGTTCAGGTGCCAGTACTGACCGAATTTGTTCCCATAAGGAATATCGTGAAGTAGATTAGTCCATTTCAGACCCCCAAACATACACGTACAAACGCACTTACATAAATACACTTACATAATTGGTCGCATTGGGAGGTGATCGTTAAGCGGGGGTCCACTGTATATCTTACTGACAACTCTTCTATGCTGTATTCAGAATTCCTTAAAAAACTGAAACTGTTTCACAGAACAAGCAGTTTTCCTGAGAGTAAACAAGATGTTTTAATCTTGGAACTGTATCAAATCCATAAATAAGCAAACTTAAGTCAGTCACGTATATTTCAAAGAAATACTGTAAAGTACGTATAGCAGAACCTCAGTTTTCGTATTTTTATTTATTTATTTATTTATTTATTTATTTATTAATTTGAACATGATACAGAGAAGTACAAAGGAATACAGTTATTAAAGTGCAACATGCCAAAGCTCCTTGTATGCAGAGCATTATGGGCAGGCTTAAAATTAACTTAAGATTAACTAAGCAATGATATATTCAGTGGTAAAAACATTATTGTAAACAGATAACAATTTAGCATAAATGAGTATTACAAAGACAGGTCATATGGTCATTTACTGTGTTGCTGAGCATTCAGTAGAATGGAGTATTCTGTTAGGTAATGTAATTAAAAAATAACAAAGTTTGATTGGGTCACAGGTTAGACATTTATGAGATACTATAATGAGAAACATTTATGAGATACAATTTATGAGATACAATTACATATTCAGTATTTATTTAGTTGTGGGTGAGTAAGTGATTTTTGAGAAGAGACTTGAATTTATAAACAGACAGTGTTTCTTTTATATTCTCAGGTAATGAATTCCAGATTTTAGGGCCTTTTATGTGCATTGAGTTTTTGCATAGCGTGAGATGGACACGAGGAACATCAAAGAGTGATCTGTGCCTTGTGTTATGGTCATGTGTTCTGTTGAGGTTGGTAAGGAGATGTTTGAGGGGAGGGTTTATATCGGAGTTAAGGGTTTTTGTTTTTGTGGGTTTGCGAAATTTAAATATGGATGTTTTGTATGGGAGAGGTGTTAGGGGCTATAGTCCCCAAAGTATTTATAAGAAACAGTTACTATAAAAATCCCTATTATATTGAATGGGGGGACTTTGTTAAATGCAGAAGGCTGATAAACCCTTTATGACGGGGCAGTGGGTAAAACCTTTTTTTCCCAAATTAATGGTTATACTTTGACAATAAACACAATTTAAATAAGTAGTTTATAAGTTGTAAGTGGACCCCCGAAAAGATCACCCCCAAATGCGCCCAATTTGTAAGTGTTTTTATGAAATGCGTTTGTCGTGATTTTTGGGGGTTTCTGAAATGGACTAATTATTCCTTTTTCCCTTTTGGGAAAAAAATTCGGTCGTAGGGCACCTGAATTACTATGGATGAAAATAGTTTTTAACCGGGGGGGCGACTGTATTTCTTTTTAAAAAGTTTTTTTTGGGGGGGGAATTGTGGTAACGGGAAAATTGTGCTTGGCAACAGTTTTTTGTTTTGGTGGGAGGGTTAGGAGGTTTCTCTCTCTCCCTTTTCCCACTGATCTCTCTCCTGTGGCTGCCTTCAACCTGGCGGATCTCTGGGTCTTCTCCTATCTTTTGGGGCCCATGTGTGCCCAGGGGTGGTTTTTTAATTTAAGTTTTGGCCACCATCCGGGGTGATAAAGTGTGTCAAAACATGGTTAGCCCAGGTTATGTCGGAAGAGTGAAGGCAAGAGTTGTTGCAACCCCCATGTGGGCACGCGGAGTGTGAGTTTTTGTTTTGAAAATGGAGGTGTGATTGTATATTTGTACATTTTTGAGAATACAGTTTTATTTTTAAAAGTAGTGTTTACATCCCTGTAAAGAGGGGGTGAAAGGGTACAGAGACATAAAGATATCAGCCAGATGTAAGTTTCCCCCTGAAAATAAAGGCCTTAAGAAAAGCACCCCACACTGAACTGTAGTGAGAACTTACCATCCAAAATAAGGGGAAAACCAGTAACATGGGTGTTTGGGACGGGAGGGGTTATTTGATGTAAAATAACTCAAAAACTTCTTTGAACATATGTGGGGTATGGGGTAATAACATTGATGTTTCTGGTGAGATTTCCCAGGTGGTGGCGGGGAAAGGTTTTTTTTCATTTTTATTTAAGGTTGTTTTTCTCCTAGGTGGGGGAAGGGAAAGAAACACATTTTTTGTTGGGGTTTATGGTAAGTGTTTATTGCTTTATTTTTCTTTTAAATTTTGTGTTATTTTTGTCCCGTGGGAAAAACTTTGTCCACTGATACTGAAGGGGGAAGCAGTTTTTAAAATTTTAAAACTTGTCAAAAGATGAGTCTTCGTTTTTGGCTTAGGGAAAAAAGGGGTAATAATTCATCGTAAACTCCCTGAAAAAGTGAACTGGGGATACCTACTCCAGGGATATGGAAATGGGAGAATGGACGAAAATTGCTTACAGGGTGAAAAAGAAATTAATGAAATGGAGGAAGACGTCAGAGGTTAGGGGTTAGAAAAAAGGGCCTGGCAGTATTTAAAACATAATAAGTGAAAATTTTTGTCCAAAGTTTACAGAGAGTGCCAGAAGATTTTTTCTTTTTTTGAGAGCCCTGCTTTGGAGCAAGGGGGCCCCAAACAAAAAGGGGGGCCCCCTTTGTTCGCACACAATTGGGGGAAAGGTTTCCCAGGGGAGTGAACTCTGGGGGGCAAGTTTTTCGTTTTTGATAAGATTAAAAGGGAAGTATTGCTTGCATACAAATGATCCTGAAAAATTAGACAAAAGTTCAGGAATAAAAAAATTTCGGGATGGGCAGATTTAATAGTTTGGGAATGAGAAACTTTTCCCTTTTTAGAAAGGGGTTTTTTCCCAAAGGAGTTAATAAAGACTATAAAAAATTAGTAGATTGAGGTTCATGGGGAAATTGTACAATACAATCCCTGTTGACCTAGAGATATTTGGAGGACAAAAAACCAAAAAATTTTCAGAAGCATGGTCTAGGTGCCCGTTTCTTGGCTCGCAGGGATTTGGAAAGTAAAAACAGTCATTGCTGTTTTAAAAAATTTCCCCCCCTCGTTCTAAACCTTATCCAAGCCTAGGTCATAAAGGTAAGTGGGAAAAGAATTTTCGGAAAAAAATTAACTGAGGTCCCCTATAAAATAGAAAAAAAAAGGAAAAAGTCAGCTGGATTTCAAATTTTCCCCTAGCAATCAGAAAATGTTTCAGGTCCAGAGAAAACAGTACCAGCCTAACCAAATTTTAAAAATCCCTTTTAAGAGTTTTATCTGTTATTATGTAACAAAATGGAACACTAAAAAGTTTTGCTGGTAAAAGGCAGCGAGATCGGGAAAAAGGGGGAACCCCGAGGACTCTAATGCGAGTACATCCATTTTGCGCATTGGTCTTCAAGAAAGGTGAGGGGGGAACCCTTTGGATCTAGCCCCGGGCAGGTATTTTTTAGTAAGTCCACTTTTGTTTTGCAAAAGGATGGGGTTTTAGGGTTGGATATAGTGTCTTGAGAGATAGATTTTAGCACCTACCCCTTGCTCGTGCTGGAGTGTTCCCAATCCCTAAGGATACCATAGGGATAGATGTATTATTGAAGGGGTATTACGGGTTCCCCTAAGGACACCAGTAACAAATTATGGGAGAATGGCATACCAATTTGGCTTTTCCCCCTGTAGGTATCTCAGTAAAATTTCCCCTTGAAGGGGTCGCCTCTTATTAGGGAATAATGTAAAGGGTTGTTAGACAGGAAGACCATGTATGGGGGCAACCGGGCCCAAAAATTTTTGGGGGAAGAAGGCTAGGGAGCCCCTGCGCTTTTCCTTTTGGGTGCCATCACAAAAGTATGTCTGGCCAGGATCCAAGGGTAATCCTTATTTTTCATGAGGAGGGTGGGACTTGGGTTTTTGGAAAAACTCTATTTTGGGGTTGGGAACTGAAATCAAAAAAAGAAAAGGATCCCCAAAACCCCGAGTTGAGCCAAATCAGTGCAGGTCAGGAAGTATGTGGGGAGTTTGGGCCCTACTATATGCAGTTAATTGCTGAAAAGGGGTGTGATGACACATTTAAGTCGATCAGACCCTCAGCTGTGATGAGGAATCTTTACGTTAAAAAAAGTTTCTTTTTTCGGGAAAAGGTATACTCATGAAGAAGGCACCTTCGGTTGAGTCCCGTAGGGGAGAGCCAAGTTTTGTCCCCAGGGTGGTGCGAGCCTTATAAAACCATGTTTTAGCTTAGTCCCTGACACCCTCTAGGGGCACTAGGTATTGCTAAAACAGTATCCAGGGTTTCCAGGCACTTCTTCTGGCCCGGCGTGGGAGACGGGGGAGATTATAAAAAGACTGTCATACCTGAAAAATTATGGGAAAACCTAATAAAGTTTAAAAAACCGTCCCCCTTCAGCCAAATTTCAGCCCCGGGTGAACCTTCAGCAAGCTGGTAGTGGATTCGTTGGCCACCCCCAAGGACCGGGAATAGGAATAATTATTTACTAAAAATAATTTGCCCCATACAGGTACCGAAGCAATCCCTCTACGCAAGTAACAGCTCGGTGGTCTTAGGGCTTTGTAAAGTTTTTTCCCCGTTGGTTTTCCCCGGAGGTCAAAAAAAATCAAGGGTCTAACTTTCCCTCGAAATTATTTAGGAAGGGTTTTTAAAGGGGTTAGATGTACGCCCAAATTTTAAATGCCTATCACCCTCAGTTTTCAGGGAGTGGTTGGAGTTTTCATAAAAATCAAAGAAAATGATGCGAGCTTTTGTAAAATAAACTATGATGGGGAGGGTTTTCCCCTTTTTTTTG